CTTCCTTTTATATAAACTGTGGTGTGCATGTGTGTTTCAGATGACCATTTATCTTTTTAAATTACAAAAACTAAATTTTTCTCTTAAAGATTTTGGGGCAATAGTCTTCCTTCCAGAGTCAGATATTTCTGAGAGATAGGTTTACTGTAGAGAAGGTGAGATTAAAGTTCTGAATGAAGGTACAAAGCCCTTCTTTCGTTATACTTTTGTTCCCTACACATTGGGTTCTTTTCCTTTTAATATGGTTTCTGTATAATTACTATCCCCTAAAACCAGGCCACAGGCCCATTGGCACACTCACAATGTTTCCTGACAGCGAGTCTAATCTCCACCTAATGAAAATAGGCCATTCTATCCTTTGTATGTAGATGTTTATTTTTTCTTGAGACTCTAATTTTTTTTCTTTTCTTTTATTGAATCTTTTGTTTTATATCAGATTGGAGTGATAGGCAAGTTGCCAGGGCTGTTAGTATCCTCACCTTAGCAGCCCTATGAGTAGGACAATAACTTGTTGTAAAAGAGAGTATGAACAGGTTGAAAAATTCTAGAACATTTGGATTCTAAAATCTTGTGCATATGAGGTCAGTTTCTTCTTTTCTGCAGAGTACTTTACACATTAAATGCTCCATTCATGGAATTCTTTAAAAAAAAAAAAAAAAGATTTATTTGGCCGGCACCGCGGCTCAATAGGTTAATCCTCCACCTAGCGGTACCGGCACACCAGGTTCTAGTCCTGGTTGGGGTGCTGGATTCTTTCCTGGTTGCCCCTCTTCCAGGCCAGCTCTCTGCTGTGGCCCGGGAGTGCAGTGGAGGATGGCCAAGTGCTTGGGCCCTGCACCCCATGGGAGACCAGGAGAAGCACCTGGCTCCTGCCTTAGGATCAGCGCGGTGCGCAGGCCGCAGCGTGCCAGCCGTGGTGGCCATTGAGGGTGAACCAACGGCAAAAGGAAGATCTTTCTCTCTGTCTCTCTCTCTCACTATGCACTCTGCTGTCCGTACTTGGGTCCTTGTCAAAAAAAAAATGAAAACAGACATAAAGGAGGTGCGGGAGTGAACAATACGAGCACCTGAAAGAAAAGCAGTCAGATCGCGTCATTCTCCCTCTTAAAACTCTCCTGTAGCTCTTACTACACTAAGAAAAACTTCATGTTTTCCCAACCATGGTTTCTGCCTGTCTTATCATTTTGCTGTGTACACACATACTGCTGTTACTCAAACATGCCAAGTTCAGTACAGAGGCAGTTCTTCCCTTCGCCTGAAACCTCTTTCTACCTGGTTTTGGCAAGATCAGATCTCACCATCCAGGTCTCAGGCTGAAGGCTGAAGGAAGGCCTTCTCTGTTCTATGTGAAGTAACTCTCCTGTCTCTCTCATGCTATTACGTTTTAATGACTTTATAGCACCTATCACTGGTAAAAGTACTTTAAAAAAAAAAAAAAAACCTGTTGTGGGCTTGTCTTTTTCACTAGAAATGTTTAGGCTCTGGGAGCAGGAGACTTTATTCAGTTCTGTGTTCCCACACCCATTAAATATGAGAGATCACTGTTTGGGAGAATCAGAGATTGGGGCTTTTATGGCTAAGAAAAGACAGTTTTTTTTTTTTTAAAGTGCTTTATTCTTGGAGTAGTATCTTACAGCCATTTCTCTTCTTCTTCTTGTTGGACCATGACTCTGACTAAAGAGAGGCATGTTTTTGAGGCATGTTTTTGGGTATAGAGGTGTCTTGACTGTATCGATTACCATATGAACTTTCATCTTACAGAGACGCTCTCCTGGTCTGCGTTCTGACTCTTCTTTGGAACAGAGCTTAAGGATCACTGTTGGCAATGACCACTTCTGTGTTAGCACCCCTGAACGGCGACGGCTTAGTGATCGGTTGGGGTCACCAGTGGATAACCTGGAGGACATGGAGAGGTAGGCTGCAGCTAAAACAGGGTATACTATGCTAGTACTACCCTTGAAGGCAGAAGTGTTGCTGTTTTCTGAATAATGTGTTTGAAAGGCTAGTGCCAGCGCTGAAGTTAATCCCCATGTCCATTTGTCTAACAGAAAATGTAACATTGGAAAAGACTGAGTGGGGAGACTTTCTGAATGAATTGTATAGAAGAAAAGACTTTAAAAAGGTCATCTTGGGCCAGATGTTGTGGTACAGAGAGTGAAGTCACTGCTTAGGAAGATCAGGATGGAGCTGCTTTTTTAAAAATGTTTTATTTATTTTGAGAGGTAGAGTTACAGACAAAGGGAGAGACAGAGAGGTCTTCGATCCACTAGTTCATTCTCCAAATGTCTGCAGCAGCCAGAGCTGGGCCAGTCTGAAGCCAGGAGCTTCTGGGTCTCCCATGTGGGTGCAGGGGCCCAAGCACTTGGGCCATCTTCTATTGCTTTCCCCAGCCACAGCAGAGAGCTGGATCTGAAGAGGAGCTGCTGGGACTCAAACTGGCTCCCATATGGGATGCTGGAGCCACAGGAGGAGGCCTTAGCCCACTACACCAAGGTGCCAGCCCTCACCTCTGTTTATGATTCAGCTTCCGGCTAATATGCCTAGGAGGCAGCAAATGATTGCCAACGTGCTTGAGTTCCTGCCACCCACATGAGAGACCTGAATGGAATTTCTGGCTTGTGGCTCTGGCTTGGCTCAGATTAGCCCTGGCTGTTGTGGGCATATCAGAGAGTGAACAGCAGATAGAAGATCTCTGTCTCTCTGTCATTCTTCTGTTCAAAAAAATAAATAAATGAAAATGACTTTGGAACTGGCACTGTGGTGTAGATGGTTAAGCTGCTGCCTGCAGTGCCAGCATCCTATGGGTGCCAGTTTGAGTCTCAGTTGCTGCACTTTTAAAAAAAAATCTTGCTAATTTTTTTAAGATTTATTTACTTATTTGAAAGGCAGAATTACAGAGAGACAGAGGCAGAGAGAGAGAAGTCTTCCATCTGCTGGTTCACTCTCCAAATGGCCACAATGGCTGCTAATATGCCTAGGAAATCAGCAGAAGATGGTCCAAGTGTTTGGACCCCTGTACCCACATGGGGGACCCAGAAGAAGCTCCTGGCTTCAGCCTGGCCCCCAACCTTGGCTGTTGCAGCCATCTGGGGAGCGAGCCAGCAGATGGAAGATCTGTTCTTCTCTCTGTTAAACCAAAAAGACTTTTTTTTTTTTTTTATCTAGAATGAAGATGATAAAGATATAATCAGAGTTCTCACAAATCAAAAACAGTTGAGGTGGTGTAGATTATAAAATACTGAAAATACCAACAGGTCCCTTATGTATATATATTTTAGCTTGTGCAGGGTGAAACAGATTCAGAAAGGGTTTAAATAAATTCATGTCTAATACATGTATGTATATTAAATAGATAAAGCATTAGTACAGATTTTTTTCATAATTTTTTAAAGATTTATTTATTTATTTGAAAGAATTACAGAGAAGGGTGGTGGGAGCGAGATCTTCCATCCGCTGGTTCACTCCCCAAATGGCCATGATGGCCAGAGCTGGGCCAGTCTGGAGCCAGGAGCTTCTAGGTCTCCCATGTGAGTGTAGGAGCTCAAGTGCTTGGACCATCTTTTGCTGTTTTCCCAGGCACATTAGTAGGAAGCTGTATGGGAAATGGAGAAGCCAGCACTTGAACTGATACCCATATGGGATGCTGGCACCGCTCAGCACAGTGCTGGCCCCAAATTAGAGATCTTTAAAAATGCTTAAGTACAGTTATTACCTTACAACTACAGAGTCCTGAAGAAGGACATACTCCTGGGGTGTCAAAATAAAGACCTCAGGTGCTAGGAACTTTATATGGGAAGTAAGTAATCATGTTAGGTATTTTTTACCTCAGAAAAGTCAAAAAGTAAGGATGAAAGTGCAAGAAAGCACTCTTTCTGAGTCTGTTATGGTCTCTGTCCAACACATTGGAAATTTTCACAAATGGTTAACACAACAGTAAGTGAAGGTAATATATTTTCAAACGGAGACTATCTTTCAGAGGTACACAGAGCACAGGCAGGCAAGTAGGAGATAGCTGGGCGGGAAGTCTGAGGACCAGTGCTTCCATGTTTACTTCAAAGCTCCAGCAGCTATGGGTGTAGGGAAGCAAGGCAGGACATATAACACTGAAGCTCCTGAAGAGAGTGTATGTGACCATATTACTTAACTGAGGCAACAGCCCTTGCCCTTCCAACTGTTTCTATTTTGGGAAATGATTGAGTAGGCTGTCTGGGTAGTTGGTGCGTGGTATGATTCTCTTCCTTCCTGTATGAGGTTTTGAAGTAACTTCAGTATTTCCTCTTGGTAACATAAGGTATCACCTTCCTTTTATATAAACTGTGGTGTGCATGTGTGTTTCAGATGACCATTTATCTTTTTAAATTACAAAAACTAAATTTTTCTCTTAAAGATTTTGGGGCAATAGTCTTCCTTCCAGAGTCAG